AGTAGTAGTAGTAGAAGTAGTCGTTGTAGCTCTAGCCCTGACGCCTCGCAGCTCTGACGCTGCGCGGCTTCGACGTGCGTGCGCTTTTACCCGAACGCCCGTGCAATGTTACTAACCAGGAGTCAATCGTCATTGGGATCTTTCGTGTCTGGAAGCGATGGTCTCCAACCTACTTAGATTGTTTGGCCTGGTAGAAAAGTCCAAAATCGTCCAAACGATCTAAGTCCTGGACGTGATGAGAGATGAAAGCACCCGGACCCACCTCATCACGCCGATCCGATGTGTCCGAGTCTGTGGCCAAAACACAGAAAAGTGACTTGAAGAAAGCGTCAAGAGTCTCGCACGTGCATTCTCACTAAGTAATAATAAATCATCAACTATATCAGCTGGAGGATCCTTTTCCATCTGGACTGCCCTGATGTTTCAAGGTGGACTACCAATTTGCTGGCATCCCTTGTTCAGTGCAGACAGCTCGGTGATCTGCAAACAAAATCCCCGGTCGACTCTGGATCGCACGAGTGCCAATCAGGCGATTTGAGGAGAGTTCAAAGTCACAAAACGTGTCCAACCAGTCTGGAAGCAAAAGCTGACAACTCATAAGTCATATGACTTGTCTAAAGGAGTCAAAAGGTATTAGGTTGGAGGCCATTGCTATTGGGTTGCAGGCCATTGCTCCGTCGATATTAGGTTGGAGGTCGTTGCTATTAGGTTGGAGGCCATTCCTGCTAGGTTGGAGGCCATTGCTGTTAGGTTGGAGGCCATTGCTGTTAGGTTGGAGGCCATTGCTGTTAGGTTTGAGGCCATTCCTATTAGGTTGGTGGCCATTGCTGTTAGGTGGAGGCCATTGCTATTAGGTTGGAGGCCATTCCTGCTAGGTTGGAGGCCGTTGCTATTAGGTTGGAGGCCATTCCTGCTAGGTGTCACAGAATTCTCATCAAGCCTTGAAGGCCATCCGACCAGGTTGGGCCGGTGCCTTCCCTCACTGGCACATGCAACGGAGTGCCTTCTGCACAGCGGAGTGCAAGGCATCAGCAGGCGTACTGATCGCTCTTCTTGCTCCGATGGGCCAAAGCATCTTCAAAAGCGTGAAACACTAATCAAATCACATTCAAAAACATAACAAAAACAACAAACACGAAAAACAATGAAAAGGGTCGTCTAAACAATGTTCTCCTTTGCAGCTTAGCGTGTCTGTTCTGTTATTCCTGTGTGTAAATTGTCTGCACACCTGCGCACCACAAGCCCGTCCTCAACTTCAAACACTGGGCTGATATGGCTGATGGTGAAAGCGCTCATGAGAGCATGCCGGTAACGCATGGGTTGAAGAGTGGGAAAGTTCTTGGACAAAATTGGTGGCCTGAGAAGGCCGTTTCCATGGTGAGCTCCGTCACAATGCACAGAATATGGAAATGGAGTCACTTGGATACTCCAATTTTCCATTCACGTGGCCAGATGTTGCCATGCGATATCGTGCCATGGCAATAAGCACTCGCAGCTCGCAGCTGGCTGTGAATGGCAACATCCAGCTTCTCATCTCATAAATCCACTACACTTTCCCGTGAAAGGCGGTCTCTCTGAGTCAAGACTCGATTCGAGAGACCCGTCCGTGCCTTGAGACCAGGAGACATTCCAGTCAACTGGTCTTTTCGACTGCGATGTCCCTTTTTTCTCGTGACGCACGAGTTCTGCGAATATGATATCGACATGTCTCGTCTTGCTCGGAGAGGCCAAAAAGCAACAGAAAACCGCTCAACGAAAACCTGCTTTAGGGTGAACAGGCCCGAAACCGATGCAGAAGAGAAGCGAATTTCAAGGCGAAGCTTAAGGCAACAAGCCCAAAACCCACGATATGTTTGATCTTAGGTTGTTTATTAGGGTTTGATTCAATGGCCAAGAGGGTAGGCAACTTCGATTCAAATCGTGCCTGAAAGACCCTCTCTGACAGACTCTGGCAAAATCTCCAAGCATTGAAAATAAAAAGACCGAAGTGCAGAAGTGCCAAGCTCCGCATGGCTGCCCATGTGCCCAAACAAGCAACAACTGAGTTTGGGACTGCCAAACTCCAGGCAGTGTGAGGAGCTGTGCAAAACTATGTCATGTCTCTCTTTCAAATTTAGCACGCATGTGGTCACCACGCAACATCCTGTTGGAATGGAGCATCTGGTGTCCTCAAAGCAGGGGAACGACAAAGGTAAATCTGATGAAGCTCCAAAATGTGTTGTTGCTGCAAAGAAAGAACAACAATCAAAGGAAGAAAGGTCTAAAGCAAGAAGAAACAAATCAAAATATGACATATATGGTTATACTGTAAACGGTGTTGTTTTGTTCTCAAACCTGAGAGACTAACCATTGCTTTACCCGCCATTCTTGAGGAATGGCCTTCAACCTAGCCATGGCCTGCAACCTACTAGCGTCCTTGCTCCCAGTAGTAAGGCCAGGAGCCCCTAGTAGCGTCCTGGCTCCTAGTAGCGATGCCCTTTGCTCCTAGTAGCGTCCTTGCTCCTAGTAGTAAGGCCAGGAGCCCCTAGTAGCATCCTTGCTCCTAGTAGCGATGCCCTTTGCTCCTAGTAGCGTCCTTGCTCCTAGTAGTAAGGCTAGGACCCCATTAGTAGCGTCCTGGCTCCTAGTAGCGATGCCCTTTGCTCCTAGTAGCGTCCTTGCTCCTAGTAGCGATGCCCTTTGCTCCTAGTAGCTTCTTGTTACTACTAGTAAGGCACTTGTTACTAGAAGCGATGCACTTGCTCCTAGTAGTAAGGCCAGGAGCCCCTAGTAGCGTCCTGGCTCCTAGTAGCGATGCCCTTTGCTCCTAGTAGCGTCCTTGCTCCTAGTAGCGATGCCCTTTGCTCCTAGTAGCGTCCTGGCTCCTAGTAGCGATGCCCTTTGCTCCTAGTAGCGTCCTTGCTCCTAGTAGCGATGCCCTTTGCTCCTAGTAGCGTCCTGGCTCCTAGTAGCGATGCCCTTTGCTCCTAGTAGCGTCCTTGCTCCTAGTAGCGATGCCCTTTGCTCCTAGTAGCGTCCTTGCTCCTACAACTCACATCTTCACCCGAAGCAAACAAAAACACGAAAGACCCCACCTCAGGGTGCTCATCGTGGTCCAGATCGTAATTGCCCGGCAAAGAACTGCAACGGCATCGCTACTAGTAACAAGAAGCTACTAGGTTGGAGGCCATTACTACTAATAGCTAGAAGCTACCAGTTGCATTTGCAACTAGTGCAACTAGCACAAACAAGAGTACTGGAAAAACAAAAGGTCCGTCTTCAAAGGAAAGTCTTGGAAAAAACTGCTACAGCTCAAAAAGAAACAAAAAGAACACGGGGAAAGAAAGTAAAGGTCAAGAGAAAACAGAAAATCATGAGTTGCTAGCGAGATGCAGTTCAGGTCAAGACGTGACTATCCTACTAAGGCATGCCAGGATCCTGAGCTCCCGAGAGACCTTTCATAAGGGCCTAAGACCTTTCAGGGAATGGCATAAGCTTTCCCTTGATGCCTTGTCAGTGCTGAAAGCATACGCTTTCTATTTCCTACGACCTAGCGAACATGCTATTTTGTGCATTCTGCCAAACGCTGTCTGCCTCTGTCAAGGTTTTCAAACGCTCTTCTAGCAAAGCCTCAAAGAGACCGGAGCAGCATGGTCAATCGGATAATCCTTCCGTCCTTTCCTCTCCTCTCCTTAATCAAATTATATAAAAATACCTAATAGATCCTAATAGCAATGGCCGGCATCCAACCTAATAGCAATGGCCTCCAACCTAAGAGCGATTGCCTCCAACCTAATAGCATCATTCTAGGGCTAGTCAAAGCTGCACTCTGTCACTCTGTGTCCCAGGCCACTTCTGGATGGTCCGCCTGGCCAAGTCAGCAGTTTGCGTTGCGGCATTGGGCATCCCTCCGGGTGTTTCAACCGCCCCGCCTGCGTCTGGCCTTCTATTCCAGCAGGTCTCCACATCCTGGCAGGTCTTCTACATGTTTGAAAGAAAGAAAGAAAGAAAGTAGAAAGACTGGAAAAGGAAAGAAAACAAGAAACGGTAGCAAATGGGCAAAAAAAACAAACCAACAAAGTGAACTAGGTGAGCCCATCTTCATCACGTGTGGCAGATTAGCAAGCAAGACCTTGGGACCTAAGGCATTGGGAATTCTGAACCTAAGGCGAAGGGCAAAGGGCGTTTATACTGGTTTCTTTTACCTTCTAATAGCGATGGTCTCCAACCTAGTCCGCAATATGTGTTTCTTTTACACGTTTAGACAACTTTTATATGTTCCTCCTTTCATTTTGTTTCTTCCTTGAAAGAGTCTTTTGCAGTTGCGTAATCAGTCGCCCGGCGAATCCTCGCAACCTCTTCCACTTCCACAGAAGGCTGCGCCATGGAAGGGCCTAGGAGGGAAGCTTGGTGACTAGCAAAGCATTGGATCAATCAATGAAAGCGTTGATTGAATGCCTCCACACACGCAAACCAAAGTTCCAGGCTGGCAATGGCAGTGCTGGCGCCCTGTTGGCAAAAATCAAAGGGCGCGCGTGTTTGACCAAGCTAGCTTGAAACGGTCGAAATGATTGAGCATTATATAGCCCTACATAACATATACACATATATATATATTTATAATGTGTACACATGTTTTGGGTTTGTCTGTGTGTGTGTGTGTCAACCCCTGTTTCCAAGGGATTTTGTCAAGACGCACCGTTTTTTAATTAGAAATCTTAGTACTCAACTTATTGACTCACCGTTGCTCTGTACAGGTGCAGGCAAAAGCCTGGTGGTGTGGTCGCCCCGAGTACTTTCTGGCGCCATTTGCTCATGGGCACCGGGCTTTGTGGGTTCCAGGGCTAAAACATCCGATTATTCGACTCGGGCGGCCAAACCCCCGCGAGCGAAAAATCCAGGAGACCACCCGGCTGGTCACGTGGATCGGCCTGCTGCGCAAACCACGGGATCGGCACTGCCTCCGTCAAGATCGCCCGAGAGACAATGAAAACTCATTTGGAAAGGTAACAAAACTCAAAAATTGCACGATAAAATGGAGGAAAAGGAAGGTCTATAGAACCCCGTGTAAACAGTATCCTCACCGTCCTATTAAGTCAGTCAGGGTGGCGTCCGAGTCGGACGCCAGGAGTCGGCCACCAGAACACCGAATCGGGTCACCAACGGGTCGCTGGTTCAGAGTTCTCCCCACCAACCCGAATTGGTCACCGCGGCTGGCGGAAGCGGGCGGAAGCGGGAAACCCGCTGGAGTGCCCTAAACAAAGCCCAAGCAAACCTTGGAGC